TGCAGTTTCGCCTTCAAGGACTCCGCAGAAGCCATCGTCAGGTGAAGATGTTAGGAGGCTTTACCCGGAATCGCTGTGCTAGAAAGGATATCCTACGGCAACAACAAATTTTGAGGTACCATTCCAGCTCAGTGATACGACGGTGGTGAAAAAAAGCCCTATGTCACGAGAGAAGAGAGTGTGGCTTCAGAACGAGATTCAAAAGATGTTGGATGCGCAGATCATCCGTCCATCCACGTCTACGTTTGCTTTACCCATCACCATTGAACGAAAGGAAGATGGAAGTCTTCAACTCTGCACTGACTACAGACAAATAAGCAGACTCAGCTTTTTTCTGTTTCCTATGCCATGTATAGACTGTCATAGATGACATGGGTGGATGCAGAGTTTTCTCGCGCATTGACCTATGTAAAGGATTTGGGCAAGTTTCGATTTCTGAAAAGTGCAATATACTGCCTTCATCACACCCTTTGACATCTATGAGTATAACCGACTTCCATTTGGATGAAAGAACTCACCCGCTTGGTTCCAGAAAATGATGAACGACGTCTTGCGACCGTTTCTCAGGAAGTTTTGCAACGTCTACATAGACAATATAATAGTATACTCCCGCAACCAGGAAGAACACTCAAACCACCTGGCTAGTGTACTTCAAGCACTTTATGACACCGAGCTCAAAATTAATGACAAGAAGAGTGAGTTTTTCCGAAGTAAAGTGGTGTTTCTTGGAAGAGTATTTGACGGCCAAACCAAGACAACAAAACAGGAATCAGTCGAACAAATCGTAAAAATGCAGAAGCCATATGACTTGCACTCTCTGCGAATATTTCTGGGTCTTGCAGGACATTTCCCGCCATTCATTACAGATTATGCAATGAAAACCAAATGCCTCACAGAAATGACTAAGAAGAATGAGCAATTTCATTGGACTGCAGAGTGTGAATCTGTTTATCACGGCCTGGTGACCATTATTTCATCGGATCCGGTCCTTACTCTTCAAGACTTCAAGTTGCCTTTTGAACTGAACACCGATGTTTCTTATTATGGACACAGGCACAGTGCTTTACCAGAAAGATATCGACTCTCCACGGAGCCGCCAACAGAGGGTCGTCGGGTACTATTTGTACACCTTTTCGAAAACGCAACTGAACTACACGACTACAGAGAAGGAAGCCTTGGCAGTCTTAATGGCCCTACGCTATTTTAAACTTTACCTGGAAAGCAGGAGCTTCACGCTCTTTACGGATCACCAAGCCTTAACATATATCCTTAACCTCGCCGAACCTCGAGGAAAAATTGCCAGGTGGGTGAGTGAACTCCAGCAGTTCACTTTCGTGGTCCACCACGGGCCTGGAGAACCGCAAGGACGCAGATGCGCTTTCAAGACTTGCGGTAATTCCTGATCAGGAAAATGTCAACGCAACATTGTTGTGGGAGGGAACTGAAAAACTTAAGTTCCACAACAGAAAGTTCACAGTCCCAGAAACAATGGTGCCTTGAATTTTGGAACTCTACCACGACTCCCCGCACTCAGGTGGACATGACGGCTTTTGGAGGACGCATCACAAGATTCGTCAGCGTTTCCAGTGGAAACACATGAAAGAGGACATTCAACGGTATGCTCAGTCTTGTCATCAATGTCAAGTTCACAAAGCCAAGTACCTTCAGAGAACAGATGAGAAGGTTTTGCCTCGACATTCCAACGTACCATTTGAACTCATCCATCTGGGTTTCGCAGAGCTCAAGAAGAAGGCTGCTGGAGTAAGAAGAACACAGTCTTTCCTAGTGGCAATAGACCAGTGCACAAGGAATAGTGGCTGCACGGCCGGGAAGGGAAGACACAAATAGTGTGATCGATCTTTTGAGTCTAGAGATGTTCAAGAATACGAAAATAGTAGTACCAGATAATGAACCAGCGTTTCTCAGTCAGCATTTGCAAGATTGGACGAAGGAATGAGGAGTGGTATTGTGACGCTGTGCTCCGTACCATCCTGCAGGAAATGGCATGGCTGAAAGAATAATTCGGGATTTGAAGCAGTTCATTTCAATGTATCCAGATTTTCAGGGTGGATGGAAGTGCAGCTTGGAGGCAAGCTGTTGCTCATCACAATTGGTCGCACACTGCAAGCATCGGCTGTAGCCCATATTTTGCAGCTTTCGGAAAGGTACCAGTGCTTCCTGCTGATCAAGAACTTTGCATTGCAGACCGGCTGCAATTGTGCGAAAAACGAAAAACTTCGGAAGCCTACCAGCGACACCGGGAAAGTATTAAAAGAAACTTTGACCGCCGCCACAACACGCGGATACCTCAGATACAACTGAACGATCTGGTGCTCGTCAGAAAAGGCCTTCCCGGCACAAAGCAGGTGTACATGGGACCTTATCGTGTGGTGCAGATCGCAGTGTAACATGGCGTTCTCAAAAGAGCTGGTTACACCAATGATGACTGTGTGCTAGCGTTTGCGACCATTGGAATCGTCTTCATGTGTCACTTCAGGAGGGATGAGTCTTCAAAGGAGTATACATGGATGTTAGGGAAGGTTAGAGGGAGACGAAGAGGAAGAAGGTGTTAGAAATAAAGAAGAGAATAAGAAGAGAATAAAGAAGCAGGGGAAAGAGGATGGCAATAGTCCGCTGATAGGCAGACTTTTTGACCGTGCAGCTTTTAGCCACTTCACCAGTGCCTCCTCCACATCCGAAAACGCCAAACCGCGTAGCCGGCACCATTTCGCAGTTGCAGCAGCACTGCCGAGCAACTTCTCTCTGGAATTCCAAATTCCACACACCGTAGTTAACGGCAGGTCCTTTTCACGTGCCAGCGCCGTCTTTTTCGTGCCACTTTCAATAGCACGAATTATGTCCAATTTCTTCTCTATTTTCACCACTCAATGCTTTTGTCCCAGCTTCAGCATGACACAAGTATGAAGCAGCACAAGCACTCACATACACAACACGTGAAAAACGACGCGAGAGCTGTCCGGCACGGATCAACCAGAGAACACCTATGCGCGGCGCCAAAGGAACAAAAAAAGCGCACACCGTGTTTGCGTGTTTGTGCAAAGCGCCATTGCGTGGACAACACCAGAAGCCTAGCCGGCCAATGCTTCTTGTTGCAGAAAAATCCAAGAGACTGGCGCTCACCAACACAGCCGCCATCATCATCAACACAAACAAGCGAGGCGTGTTTCGATATTTGGGGCTTGCTGTTCTGTTGGGACGCCCAGTGGGGGACGACATGCCGCGGCGAGTGCGCAACGAAAATTGGAAAAACTACTTATTAACCGATACATACACGATAAGCTGGTACGGCTTATGCGGATACAAAATGCATTATGTTCAATGGCCGCCGAGTCAGGGATTCAACTTCACTACATTTAAAATGAAACTACTGTTTACGCGGGTACGGTTTAACGAGGTTTCACTGTACCCTATTATTGACATGCAGCCTGCGAAAGAAGATGGCAATAGTTTCGTGCCGCATACTACAAGCATACTGCACGCAAATCGCTGCTGTAAAGTAGAACAGCTGTAGTCGCGCTTGAATAAACGCATTAAGTATACTTACTCGTACACTTCACTGAGCTGGTAGTTTTTCTTACTGATGGCGATTATATCCTATAGGGCGGCCGAGCTCAGCATTTTTTGTTCTGCACATAAATCTGTGCAATCGCAAAACGCCATACCAGCACGATTGCTGCGATGCGCTGTGAACTTCACAGTTAGTGCTCAGCAATCTCATCGTCTTGCGCTGGTTGTTGTCGCATCAGCTGACAGCGCAGCGGTACCCAGATGACATTTTATAAGCAGGTGCAGCGTAAAAAGGCGCTTTTTCGCATATTAAACTCCCAGAGCCACTGCATGCCATGCCAGTGAGGCACGCCTTGGCAGTTCCAAATAAATTATGGCGTCTCTGGGAGCGAGGGTATACCACCAAAGGCGCCTGGGTGGGAGATAGGCGTGCTCTTGTCTATGGGCCTATCATTCACTTAAGGTGAGTGAAATGTTTTGTAATACAGAATCCTTCGGAACGTCCTTTCTTTCCAGAACAATAAGGGAGTGGTATAGATTACCAGTAGCTGTAGTGAATGAAATATTACATGATACATTTTATGCTTTGTGAACTTAGTGCTTTATGACTTCTCGCTATATGTTTTTCGATTTGTGGGGTTTAATGTCCCAAAACCACCATATGATTATGAGAGACGCCGTAGTGGAGGGCTCCGGAAATTTCGACCACCTGGGGTTCTTTAACGTGCACCCAAATCTGAGTACACGGGCCTACAACATTTCCGCCTCCATCAGAAATGCAGCTGCCACAGCCGGGATTTGATGCCATGACCTGCGGGTCAGCAGCCGAGTACCTTAGCCACTAGACCACTGTGGCGGGGCTTGCTATATGTTTCTCTGCATACTGTCAAGTGTATGTACTAATTTATTATTCTGCCTGCTTTTATATCTACTGTTTTTATGTTCATTCGTGCTCCTGATGTTTTCACTGACTTTTATAAATAAAGATTTTTCGCAAGAGCTATCAAGCAATGGAATTCCTTGACCGATGATGCCGTTTCATGCTTATCCGTAGATTTATTCTTGAAACCTATTGCTCATATTCTCAATTGTAGCTAAGCTTTATTTTGTCTGTAAAGGATCTTGTGCATTTACTTTTACCTGGTCGTTTCGTGAATTCTACTTTATATTGATTCTTCCGAGTTTATGTTTATTTATGTTTTTATTTTCCGCTCCTGTAATAGCCTCGAGAAAGGGCTGACCATATCTGTAAATAAATAAATAAATAATTGTGCAGTGTAAAACTGCTTATATTGTGTTTCCCCTTTCTGTAATGCCTCATGTGGTGCTGTACGTATTGTGTAAATAAATAAATGAGGGTGAAATGGTACGAATGACAGCCAAAGAATAAGCTCAACCAGCTCTTCACACAAGTTCACTGTTTTGCAATATTGGTATTCACTGGCGCGCATCAGAGAGGAGCAGCAACTCACGGGGTGGCAGCCTTTGCGGGACCGCAACGCCTTAGCAGGAAGTGGACATCGGATGCACAGCGTCCCCAGCGGGCAAGCAGCCGCAGCGGCCGATCGGAAGGTGCTAAAGGGCGCTCCGAGCGACGGCTGCGCTCCACAAGAGCAAATCGGCCGGTTTGTGCAGTTGCCTGTGCCAGCGCATACACCACATCCTGACATGTGGTGGCTTCAGTTACACCACACACCACCCGCTGTGGCCCACCTTCCAGCCACACCCGCAGCTCCATTGATCCATCTGCAAGGTAACATCCGCAAGCACTCGTTGAAATTTCAATGCTTTCATTAAAGTCATTGCGGGGCATTTATGCACTAAAATAACATTGGCATCATTCTATGCGGAAAGTCCACCGGCCCTACGCTAGACCCTCTCAGACTTTCTCCTAGAAAGTCGGGGACAGTCAAGTTAATACACTTTTCACCCTCTCTCGGTACTTTCGCAAGAAATCTTTTTTGTGCTTATTGCAAAATTGCCGAGGTGGTTGAAACGACGGTTGCTGAAAAATTCACTAAAAGTTACATTCCTACATGTAGCACTGGAAATCTCAGCTGGTTGATAGAAAGAGAATCGCACTTTTTCACTCACTGCCATTGGTTTCCATTACTTTGACCTGTAACATCCTCTATAGTAAAGCAACATGGTAAGTCTATGCCCGTTTTGGCATAAAAAATGTATTTTACGAAGTCTATAAAAGTAACAATCGAGCGTTTAATTCAGACCTTGACAGTTTGTAGAGATGGAGCGGGCACAAAGAAAAAGCAATCATCAAAAGACACCACAAGCACGCCCCTCAGAACAGCCACCACCAACAAGCGCTATCAAAGCAAACCTGTGGGTCTTGAAGCATCACAAAGGGAAGCATGATGCAATGCCAGGTAACATCACCATGAATGGAACTAATGAAAAAAGATCTCACCGTTTTCCTAGCTGAATTCCTACGAATATTCACGAATCCAGTGGCAAGCCTATACATAAGCAGGTGTCCACGGAAAGACAGGCAGTGAGTGAGGGAGTAAGTCATAGAGTTTCCGAAATACATACTAGGGGGTGTATACATACTCTGGCGCTAGTATCTATGGGAGCTGCAACGCACGGCGCTTCAGCGAGCATGAGAATCATGGATAGTAAGCAGACTTTCCTAGTTTTCGTACTTTACATTCCTTTTGTGTTCACGTGGCTTGAAGCTGCTTTGTCACGAAACAACCATGAGCAAATGTTCAGCCCTTACACTTCACCCCCTTCTCTTTTTAGGCTTACCATTTGATTTGAAATTGGGTCACCAAGTTCAAAATGGCTCGTTCTTTCCTTCAAAACAAAACCGAAACACAGCAATAAACGAAGCCACAGGTGTGATTCGCCATCCACAAGTAAGAAGACTAGGCGAATCCATGCAGTACTACCCATCATTCCCATGGTCGCTGAATTATCGCAGTGCCAGAGTCCCTTTTAGGAAACTATAGGTAATAAGTAACTATGGTGAAGTGGGCAAAGAAGCTTTGTTGATCAAGTGAGTTGTGTAGCGCGGTGAGCTGACCTGGAAGAGTTGAGTGATGGAAGAGTTGATGCGGTGGGAGCACCGACAGTTTTGACTGCAAGAGAAACATTTGGAGCCAACGACGGAAAGAAACAACCATCCACGCTGGAGTTTGTGCGAGTGTTCCCTGGAATAGAAACATTCCAGATACTTTTTTGAGAATTATGGGCTAAATACAGTTCGTGAATATTGAAAACTTGAAGGGTTTTTGAATAGTTTGTCATGCATGAGAGTGCATTTGTAGCACAAGTAATATGTTCTGCTAATTTAGCCATCATTTTAATTATATTAAGATTTGTATTGTCATTGATAATGCCAAATGTGCATGTTTGTGAGTTGCTGGTACTGCCTTTACTAAGAATATATTTCCCTTGTGTTCATCTCGCCCAAAGGAAACTGCCGTACTTAATAAAGTTTAATCATTCATTCATTGTGGTACCGAATTTCAGTTCCAACTCGGTGTTTGGCCAACAAATGGCGTTTGGTAGCGCACTAAAAGAACCAACGCTTAACTGTTCTTGCTTTTGTGGTGCTTTTGTGGGAGCCGATACGTCAGCACTTGGAACTTCCCCATTAATGGGATCATTGATAATAAAGTAAATATAACATTGCATGGCTGGATTGTTGTCAGCAAGAATATAAGAAAAGTATTCAACTCAATAACGAAGTAGTTTCAAAACCGAAGACCTGCAAGGCTAGAAAAATGTGCGAAATGACTCATGTTCAGGCCCATTTAGATGGAGGCAAGGAGTATTTCACAACCAAAAATGGCGAACAGGATGAATGAAGACATCAAAGCCTGTGCTTTCTCTATTTGAAGCTTCTACCATTGAAGGTAGATAACATTGATAATGTTAAGTGCTTTCATTTCTTCATTTAAAAATTGACTAGAAAGTTATTGATTGATTGATATGTGGGGTTCAACGTCCCAAAGCCACCATATGATTATGAGAGACGGCGTAGTGGAGGGCTCCGGAAATTTCGACTACCTGGGGTTCTTTAACGTGCTCCCAAATCTGAACACACGGGCCTACAACATTTCCGCCTCCATCGGGAATGCAGCCGCCGCAGCCGGGATTCGATCCCGCGACCTGCGGGTCAGCAGCTTAGTACCTTAGCCACTAGACCACCGTGGCGGGGCTAGAAATGTATTTAAAACTGTGCAGCATGACGAGGTTTACTTGAATTAGGCTTGTACTCAAGTTTTCTGACAAGAAAAAAAGAGCATATCCCTTGAAGAAGAAGGCATTAAACGCAACTTTTTGATCAAGTTGTAAACAAACAAACCAAAGTTCTGAAACATTATCAGTAGTGGTCCAACCAATTTAAAATATTTATTTATTCACTGTGCCGAAACTCATTACAGAAGGAGCTGGGTAATACAAAAGCAATAAAAATAGAACATAGGAATACAAAAAATTAAGAAAATACCTAATCGAACCACACTAAACTACTATTGGCTCAAGATGTAATCGGCTAGAGCAGCCTTGAACGATGACGCGTCCTCAATGCACGCGATGGGGGGGTTGGCCGTTCCGCTCGGCACTAGTTTTTGGCAAAAAAGAGAGTCTGAAGAAACATTAGTGCGGTAAAAGGAAGAAAAACTTTATAGAACTAATTATCAAGACCCGATATGTATGAAGTTGCCCAGATGAGTTCCATGTTTAATTAAGTGGATTCTTTTGGTATACTACATAGTACAAGAAATTTTTCTTTCAAGTTTCGAATCTATTAGTTCAAGGTCCTCTTTCATTAGTGAAATGCTAGCTGTGTGAGAATCGTTAAAATTAATTAAATGAGCTGAATGATTTTAAACTGATTCCATAAAAGTTGCTCATGTTTTTTGACCAGAGTCCCAACAGAAGAAAGATACTAAAGCTTGGGTCTGATTAGTGTTTTGTAGAGCAGTAATTTTAAATAATATGAAGCTCTGGAAAAATTTTTGCGTATGTACACGAGAGATCTGTTGGCATTGCCGGCGATGTATTCGATGTGCGCACGCCAGCAAAGGCTGATGGGCTGAATTTCAAGATATTTATATTACTCGAGGTTTATGTTATAGATATCATAACCGAAAGAAGTTGATCAGTCAGAGCAATGTGAGAAATGCATGATTTTGCATTTAGCGGGATTGAAAAACATTAGCCATTGTGAGCACCAGTTTTATATGTTTGATCTGATTGAAGAATAAAATTATCATGCTCATTAGTTATTTCACAGTATGAAATGAAACACAATCGACAGCAATAGTTTGACGGAACTATTAATAGTAGGTAAGTCATTATTACAAATTAGAAAACGATGGGCAGCCTTCAAGGCCGCCGAACTTTACTTCACAACATGGGGATGCAGCATCATCAGCAGTTACAAATTGAGTATGGTTAGTAAGAAAACATTATATTGCCACCCTGTGTTGGTGGCAGAGGGAGAGAGCGTAAAAGTGGGTAGCTGCTGTGGCCGAGAAAACAGTCAGTTGCTTCGAGTTCCTGTATGTTGTTTCCTCTCGCGACAGACTGGTGGAGATGCTGGGTACTGCAACGTCTTATGCCTGCTGGTCCCGAACCAGAAGCAACTAACGCCAGTGCACTAGGGTCTGCTGATATCTATTGAAGCCGCCAGGCACTTTCTTCGTGGTTTCAAACACCGAACAAGAGCGTGGCCATGTTTGTCGAACAGATGTTGCAATTGTTTCAACCACGACTCCTCTATAAACTTATGACCTGCTCATCGGCGCCACCCCTACGAAGGCGTGTGGGCCCAAAATTGGCGCGTTGGGACCGGAGATTCCGCGAGGTGCCGCCATAACTTACCCTCATAGCAGACGACGTGCTGCCATAGTGGTGCAGTCAAGCGTGCGCGTTTCTGCAATTTTTATCTTATCCATAACGTGCCGATCGAGCAACCCACAGATTTAATGAATCGAAGCAAGATTCTAGCTGTGAGAAGCACCATAGTGGTTGGCTCCGGGATGTTCATTACAGGAACTCAATCTGCGTGAGCGCTTTGTGTCCTGGTCTAAGTGCAGGTGAATGCGAGCGATATGCGACACACCACGAGTTTGTTTTGCGCAGCGCACCCCACCTAACCGCTATTTAGAAGGTGCTGAAATAATTTGTCCGTGGCCAAACAGCAATCTTGTAACGAGTTGCAACTGAAATCAGTGTGTTTCTGCGATGCAATACAGACACCTATACGGTACTAAAAACGCGTGCGATGACCCGTGTAAGTTTTCATGCCCTGCATATCGTCCTTCAATGATGCTGTTCACGGATAACAATGGAAGGGAGTAGTTGTGCTATCGTCTGGCGAATGTCTAACGATTCATGGAAGCGCGCGATGAAACCGGTAGATTACCGCAATGTTGTTACAGTGATTTCTCGCACCTGCAGCAGCTCGTTGCAGCACTGTTCGAGCGCCACTGGCGTTTTCGTGTGGACTCACCGGCGATGTCACCAAGCTTTTATCTCTGGAGCAGGAAACTACAGCGCATTAAGTGACAACAGCTTTTGTCGCGCTCCATTTCTGTAAAGGCAATAATGTTTTCTAGAAACGCGAGTATCAGTTTATACCATACGTTTTAACTGGCTAAACCACTTTGAACTGTCCCTGTTCTATTCCACGAGCTTTTAGCATTGGCGCTGTCGAATCTAAGTGACGGGAAATTTGTGAAACGATATCCCAGTTGATTGCCGGCTGCTCCATT